GTTTTGTGGAAATTAAAAGTTGGAGTCAGAAGTTTTTGATGTACAGCAGTCTGGGTGAAATAAATGTTACATTAAGTAACTGAGTAATATTTACTATATGTACAGATTAGAAGCTGACGTGTCTTCATCTTCTTCTTTCCACTTCCATCAGGGAGTTGGAAGCAGCGAGGACGAGCCTCAGCAGCGACCTGCCATCTCGTCCCTGCTGTCCTCGAAGCCGTCGGTGGCCTCCTCCACTGACATGCTCCACAGCAAGCTGTCTCAGCTCAAAGAGTCTAGAGAGATGTACCAACAGGAACACAATGCACATTCCCACTCCCCAACGCATGCGCACACACGCTCAGCCTCGCCAGCAGCCAACCTGGATGACCTGAAGAAACGTCTGGAGAGGATAAAGAGCAACCGGCAGTAAGGAGCACCAAACCAACCACGTCACCATCTCATCCGCTCAGCCTGTGGAGTCCAGCTGGTTGTAGAAAACACAACATCCTCCTTTTTAACTCTGTTTATATCCTTGTTCTGGTAGATCGAGGTAGAAAGCACTTGGACACTAAAGCCCCGCCCTCTGTAATGACAAATCCGGTAGCAACAGACAAACACACCCTCGAATTTGAACCTGACTCCACCCACTGTGCCTGTATGTTGTTAGAAATCAGACACCCTGATCTGACTGTAGCTGAGTACATTCAGATTGAACTAAGGCTGTGATTTTTAGCCTCCACACACAGACTGCAGAAACTATCCCAGTGTTTTTAGCTACAATTCAAACTCATTAAAAGATGTTTTATCTTCACATCAAATCACTTTTGTTTTTAAGTGTCGACCATCAGAACAGAAGAGACGAAGCTGAGTCCAGAGTCTAGGAGTGAGCTTTGAGTCGGATGTAGTTCTCAGTCTGTACAGTTTGATCCTGAAGAACAAACTGTCACACCCACCTAACCCCACCTCACTCCACTCTCCCTCCTGTCCTGTCCCAGCCTTCTCTTTCAGGTTGCCCCCTCCTTCCTCCCTCCTCTCTCCTGTGTACACTTTTCACTGCATTATAATAATGAAATAGTGAACTTAACCTCCTTCTGTCCTCTTTAATATCATAACACAATATGTTTGTACATATTTAAAGGTTGTTAACCACTTAACTGTTATGAAGCGCTTCTCATGTGGTCACAGGAAAATACACGTTGTTTCTTCCTGTTTCACGACGTACCACATCGCTGCCGCTGCCGCTGCCGCTGCTGCTGCTGCTGCTGTTTGGATAGAGAAACACTGTTGTAAAGAACTGAAGTCACATCTGTAGTTGTGTGACCGCCCTCTTGTGGCCGAGCACTGAACGCTTGTACACTGTCATGGTATCAGTTTGTACTTCTCAGTGATTTCAGCCTCTTTTGGATGGGGGCATCTAATGATTTTGAATAATTGCAGAAAGTTTACGTATCCTATGTTGGCGTCAGTAAATGATGACGAGACAAACAGCAGGAAGAAATGTTGATGTCTCTTTCAAAATAGCACATATTATAGGACTTGAAGCTCCAGCACTTAGTTTAATCAAAAAAGTGTCTGATTTGTCCATTTCAGACATTTTTATTCTGTGTTTAGAGTCATGAAATAAGCTCAACAGCATCAACATCAACCCCTCCTCTGTCATCCTTCTGCCCCTGATGGTGGCTCTAAAAAGGAAGTTCTTTCTGTTTGGTCGCGGTTACGTAGGAAACCCTTCCACTTTTATTCTGAAAATCTTCTGTTGTGGCCTTTTAGTAAGCGATTGTCTAAAGTGGTTTTCAGTTTCCCTTTTTTTTTTTTTAAGAGAAAAAATATTTCTTCCCAGACAAACTGGAAATAATCAGCCGTAGTGTTTGGTTGTGATTTAAAACCTGCAGGCGTTTGGTGGTACACTGAGTTCAGTTCCTGAGCTGCTTCACTCAGGAAGTCCAGACCCAGCAGAGCTGTGTACAGGTGTGTTTCAGTTGTGTGTTGGACTGTGCTGTGGGTTGACATTTGGCTGTAAATAGTGTATGTACTGTCCTCCATTAACACCCTCCCTCCCTCAGTTATTTAACAGCAGAACAGGACTGTAGAACCAACATGGCTGTCACTGTAAAGCGCATCAACCAAACTTGTTGTATATGTACGGCTCTTTATCCAGCTGAAGGAAGTTCACTCTGTGTCTGTAGGCTTAAAGAGCATGGCATGAAGGCAGTGATTGTTTTAATTTCTCCTGTAAATAAAGTTTGCATTATTAAAACAACTGTTTAATTAAGTAATTGTTTTTCTAAAGAAGACGGCGATGATGATGGCCCTGTTAGTCATCTCTTCTGTAGCTGAATGTTGAGTAAAGAAACACAAATAACATTGTTTTTGTATTTAATTCAGATGTCAGTCTTACATTGTTGCTCTCCAGCTTTCCTTGTATAATCCATAGTGGAAAATGGCAATAAAGTCTTGTTTTTTTTTTTTAACAATCCATCTGTGACTATACTCTTTTTATTTATGTGTGAATTAATCTAAAACGGAGTTGTCTTCTTTATGTGTTATTCTTTTCATGTGTTCTACTGTAGTCTGGAGGGCTGCTGCTGTGTTGAACTGATGCAGCTAAGCAGGAAATTGGTTCTTAAAACCTGCAGCAGGAAGCTCAGTCCATTATTCTCAGAGCCTTCTCATTAAGGAAAGTGGTTTCAGGTTTTTGACTTTGCAATGTTGAATTTTTCTGTACTCACTTGGAAAGTTTCAACATTCATCATACTCTCTTATTTAATATTTCTAGGATCAGATATCCAGTTTTTCAGAAGTCCTGGAAAACTGATCCACACTATTTGTGTCTTCATGACTAGATTAATACTGAGTCGAGGAGTTGTGTAACTCGTCTGCGGATGGTTCAAAATGCTGCAGCCGTCGTCTGAAGACACGGGAGCTCCTACCCCCAGTGTTAGCCTCTCTCTGTCAGCTGCCAGTCGAGTGTAGAACCCAGTGTAAAATTTTAATTACCTGCCAGCCTGAACATGTTAAACCTCCTGAGTACATCTCTGAAATACAGTAACTTGAAGTCTCTGAGCTTGGCTAACCAGTGTCAGGTGCATGTTCCCAGACTTCTACTTGAAGGGAGACCTAAAACCCAAGACTCCCACAATTGGATCATCCAGATTGAATCACATTTTTAAGAACTCCTCGAAATCTATTTATATTTTCTTATCTTTTCTTTAACTTTTTTTGTGTGTTTCTGTTTTGTTTTGTTTTGTTTGTCCTGCCTCCATTTTTTGTGCTAATTGCTTTTATTATGAAACACTTTGGGACTCTTGTTTTGAAAAGTCCTTTACGAATAAATCTTAACTTCCTTTATAGCCGATCAAATCACTCTAAGAAAAAGATTTAGAAATGCCACAACATATAGTTGCACTTTTCTTATCACAAGAATATATTCTTTTATTTTCCACATTTATACTGAAGCACACTCCCCCCCTTTTTTCACTTCAGTATAAATAATCTGTCAAATATATCACATTAAAACTGCAGTGGGAATTGGTTTTACATGCATCTATGATAGAAGCCTCCTCAACAGAACTAACTTCAGTTAGGTCAGTCAACAGTTCACAGGTGTCTCATCCATCTACATCACTGATGAGCTGACCTCATGTCGCTGCGACCTGTAGCAGTGCATCAATTACAACATGGACGTCCTCAGTTTGTCAGATAATAAGCCTGTGTATGGAGTGAGGCGGATGTGACACCATTAAAATCTGATCACATCCTTACAGAAGTTGACACTGATCAATATTGTTGCCTTCATAAGGCCCTAAACAGTGAAGTAGGAATCTGCACGTACAGCGGATCCAGGCTTTACTTTTTGCACTTTATTGTGTTGTGGATTTAATTTTAAATGGATAAAATTGCTATTTTTCATCATCACCATACTCAATCTACATTGCGTTCCCAGGAGCACAGTGGCCTCAATAACTGTGAAGTGGAAGAAGTGTGGAACCACCAGGACTTAAACTGAGTAACCAGGCAACAAGGACCTTGGTCAGGGAGGTGACCAAGACCCCAAGGGTCACTCTAACAGAGCTTCAGAAGGCCTCTGCAGAGATGGAGAAACTGCTGGAAGAACAACCATCTCAGGACTTTATGGCAGGGGGGTTCTCAGCAGCAGGGGTAGAGAGACTGGTCAGAACTGAGGGAAATATAAATGCAGCCAAATAGAAGAAAATCTGCTCCAGAATTCATGTGACCATAATGACCTCAAGCATACAGGCAAGACGACACTGCAGTGGCTTTGGGACAAGTCTCTGTCCTTTGAGTGCCCCAGCCAGAGTCCAGATCATCTATAGAGAGACCTGAAGATGGCAGCTCATAGACACTTCCCATCCAGTCCAGATGAGGGTTGAGAGGATCTGTCAGGAAGAATGTGATAAACTGCCCAAATCCTGGTGAGTAAATCTGGTAGAGACTTGTAAATGAAGACTTGAAGATGTAATTGTTACTAAACTACTGAATTAAGGCTCTTAATACTTTTGTAAATATATTAAATTTTAATGTGCAGTAAACCTCAGATACAGCGACCTCTGGTGGCATCGGGGGATTTCTACTGGACACAGCAGTGGGATTATACGACTGTCCTCAACCTTAAACCAAAGCTAAGCCAATGATTATCATCCTATGTTTGTTTAGTTCCAGTAGTTTCACATCAGTAGGACACTTAACATCAACACTAAACGAAACGTGTTATTTATTTATTATTTATTTGAGAAAATATAAAGAATACAAATATGTGTGAAAAGAACAATTTGTATATTTAAGAGTTAAACATTTAAACATTTCAATCTACAAATATTAAATCTAAAACAGCTCAGTATACCTTATTAAATGTATATAGATACACTGAACTACATATAATGTAATACAAACTCTGTACAGGAACATGGCACTGAGGCTGAGAAAATACAGCTATGAATCGAGCAGGTTCAAGCACTTCTGGTGTTTACTTCCATTCATCAGACTCTTCTATCAGGCTCTTAAGAGACTGTGATTTCTTCACTGTCTGACTCTTTGCTGGACTCTGACGGAGACGAAGGATTGTGATGATGATGATGATGGTGGTGGTGGTGGTGAAGGTGTGACTCCTGGCTGTCCAGCTGTACTTGGCTGGTGGGTGCAGTCCTGTCAAGCCTCTGGCAGTAGGTGCTGCCTACATCAGTGAGGTCTGGGTGGGGGTTGGTCTTGGTGGGGAGGGTCTGCTGGCGACAGCCGCCCGTCGAGAGCAGCTCCCTCTCTTTGGAGTTTCTCCACTTCATCCTGCGGTTCTGGAACCAGATCTTCACCTGCACAGGGCACAGAGGAAAAACAATGTCAGTCACACGACCAGCCATAATCACAGCTAGTTTTAAATTCACAATATAAGAGCAATGAGGCATAAACAAGTTTGTTCTTGCTCATTATATAAAGCAATGAAATCACAAATCAAATCCTCCATGGCCACCTGGGAGTCTTTAAGTCCCAGTTTACTGGCGAGTTTCTTCCTGTCTGGTTTGCTGATGTATTTCTGCTTCTGGAAAGTTCTTTCCAGGGCCTTCCTCTGCAGGTCTGAGAACACGGCCCGCCGCAGCATGCCCCTCCTGGGCTTCCCTCTGGGGGCCAGAGGCCATGAAAACGTACCCGGTACAGGAATCACAGAGGAGGAGGCTGGAGGGACAAACACACAAGAGAGGGTAGAGGTTTAATGATCTGGATCTGCCCCATGAGGGACCAGAGGTGTTACCCTGCATTCTGAACCTGACTGATAATGTAAAATTGGTGAGGGTGTACCAACTCTGAGAATACAGATTCTCCTCCAGAACATATCAAAAGTACTGAGGTCATAAGTCAGAGCCCCCACCAGTTCACCTGCTTGTAGTTATAATTAAGGTCAAAGCATTAAAGGTCTTTTAATTTATATATACTGTGTACATGTCTTACATGTTAATCCTTCCCTCTGGATGAAGGTTCATAGTCCCCAAAGTCATTTTACCTAACCTAAACCTAACCTAACCTAACCTAACCTAGCCTAACTTTAACCTAATCTAACCCAACCTAACTTTAACCTAACCAAACCTATCCTAACTTTAACCTAATCTAACCTAACATGATGGGAGAGAAGTGTTTCATTTGTTTTTTTTAAAATAGTTTTATAGTTATATCGACGATGGTGATAAGCATATTATTTTATTTATTTATTTTAAAGATATACTGCTAAAAGGATCAATGTTAATTTGGTTGTGTATTTAAATGCAATGACTCTACCTTTTATAAATACTCAGAAAATTATAATTGTTATAATTTATTTTGCAGGTTGATTCGTATTGGTCAAAGCGTCAGGCCTTCCTGTTTCCACCATCAGCCCACAGACTCCCTGATGCCGCCTGTAATACACTTGATCTGCCTGAAATTTGATATTTAAAAGCCCAATTTGTCCGGCAGTGGAAACAGAGCCTATGCTAATAAGACGGGCTCTCCAAAGCTCCGCTCACACTGCCTCTAATGAAGCATGAAGGGGGATTGTTAGAGGCTGCAAATGGAGAGAGAAAGGTGATTGTGTTGTAATGAATTGAGTGGAAAAGGCCGTCGACAGGCCAGTATATTACAGGCCCATTAAAGAAAGGTCAGTATAATGTAGAGCTGTTAGAAAGTCCTCACTCAGGCTTTACACAGAGGTGGGGCTGTTCAGTGTTATACACCTGCTGTAACTATTATTCCAGATGTTCTGTCTGAAAATACAAAACTGATTTTTTTTTATTTTTGTAGAATTGATTAATCTGCTGATCAGTTAGAAACTAAATCAAATCAAATCCAGGTTCAAACCTGTGGATTTGATCCTGTGAGCAACGCTGCGAGCTCAAACCTTCAAGATGTGTGCGTGTGAGTGTGAGTGTGTGTGTGTGTGTGTGTGTGTAGGCGCACGTGTGTCTGTGTGTGTGTGGTTTTGGCTCCTATTGGTCACGGTGCTGGGAGCTTTGTGGGCAGGCAGAGGGGCTTGGTGGGAAAACGACGGCGCGTGAAGAGGCGCCGAGTTCCTGAGCTGGGAAGATACCCGCCTCACATTTAGACCATGACAAACGGCACTAATATATTTGAAGCGTGACAAACTGGACTAATTTGTAGATTAGGACAACTGGTGCTAATGTCAGCAGTCAGTGTATCGCCTAAATAGGCCTTCAAATTGGCAGAGCTGTTTCCAGGCTGTCCGGGGTATTCCCATGCTAAAAGGCTGACGACGTCTTTAAACAGCCAGCTCAGACCTCACCATCTGCATGAGCGGCTCAAATGTGTTTTCACAAACAGTTTGAGAAGCTGTAAGATCCAGACTTTAAGAGCTGAACTGTTTGTTAGAGGGTGTTTTCAGTTTCATCGCTTTTAATGAGTAATTATGGTCAGAGATTAAAGTTCACAGGGAAAAGGACTACTTTTTTTATTATCTATTTATTCTAAGTATATTATTAATCACATCTATATATCAGTTCATTAACGAATTAATATAAATAATAATAATAATTAATATAATTAATAAATATGAGTCTGAAATGTTCCTTGAATCATAGACATGTACTGTAAGGCACATAGAAACAATATGTTACACCATGAGTTAGTTATCATTAGTAATTAGTTTAATTATAGTTAATTAATCTATCATCTTTATTAACATGTATATGCATGTATGACAACACCCTCTGAGTTGCAATAATATGACATAACTAATCAGTGTAAAGAGCAAGCAAAAATATTTTCTGTATAATTAATTTATAACTGCTTTTGGATTGTTTTTTTTTACCAAACACTCTTTTTCAGTCTCTATGAAAAGTATAATAATGTTATAAATGAAGGCCTACTCATCACTGAGACTTTGAGGTGTGGGTGTGGCAGAGGAAAATGAAATTTCCTCTGACAAAGTTTCAGTTCAAAGTGCAGAGTGAGCTGTGAAAGGCAGAAATCTGGCAAAGTAACCATTGAATCATAGATATTATTTAATCCTGCAGATGTATCAAGTGTTGTTACTCTCTTAGATAATAAGAATATTTTTATTCCACCTTATAAAAATGATAGTTTAAAGAAAACTTTTTTTTTTTTAACCATACTCTATTTCATAGGATTATCTGTTTATTTTTTTTCTTTTGACAAAAATAAAGGGTAAAGTGACGGCAAACTACAAATGAGGTGTTTATTACTAGTATTAATAAGAGGATTCAAATGGACAGTGAACGATAGTCAGAGCAGAAGAGAAGTGCTGATTTCGTCTGTTTGTGCATTATAGTAAACAGATGTGGATATGAGCTGAATGGCAACATGAGGTTTATCTCATTAGATAAACGTCCAATATAAAGTGATGCAGAGATTTAAATGCAATAAATAGACATAAAGTAAAATAATAAACATAAAGTGGTGAATGTGGCGCTTTTCTCTCTTATAAATTGTATATGATTTGACTATAAATGAACAGCGTCTGTCCTGGAGCTCTGAAAACACTGATGCCAATATAGAGCAGTGGTGAGTCCACCTACCTGTGAAATAGGTAGCTCTGATGAAGGGATGGAGGCCTCCGTCAAAGAAAGGCAAAGGGAAGGACTTGGTCTGAAAACTCTGGACTGGAGGAGCAAACAGAGAAATAATACAAACTGACTTCTCAGCAGGACAAATAACAGGAACAGAAAAACATAGAAATGTATCAAAATGATAAATATTAAGCAATTATAGCTTCTTATACTATTATTATATATTTCAATAAAACAAAGGCCTATAGTAATGACTGTATTGGTTGAAACAATACACATTTTAAAGTTATATTTGATGCACATCAGCAAAATGATATTTGAAGTCTAATGCAACTTAATTATATGTTTTAAGATTCAACAGAGTCAATATATTGTTGATATTTTTTTAATATAATCAGTATTTTGGTCAATTGTATCACATTTTCAACAATAGTGAGAGTAACATTTGCAGTGCTGATGGACTAATAATAATAATAATAATAATAATAATAATAACAATAATAATAATAATAATAATAAATATAAATCAATTTTTATTATTATTTGTTATTATTACTAGGAGTAGCCCCAGTAGTAGTAGTAAAAGTACTGCAATAAAAATCGAAAATCATAAACTATCCATCATCCATTATTTTCTCATCATACTCACCGCTTCGTGTGGACGGTGCCAGGATCGCATTGACGCCGAACTTGAGGTAGCCGGAGTCCGGGCAGGCAGTTTGCGGAGAGCCGTGGCTGCTGCGGGTCTGCTGGCTGGAGCTCTGCAGCACAGACCGCTCTGTGCTGGGTCCTAACGCCCGGGGAGAGGCGCCCGGCCGCGGACTGAGCGGGAGAACGTCCCCCGGATTTCTGGAAGAGAAAGTCCGATGAATGTAACTGACAGGCTGGCTCAACTGGAGGAGATCCTCCACCAGAAAGCCTGAGCGGAGTGACCGGGTCAGGGGCGAGGAGAGGGTAGCGGGAGGACGCAGTAAGCCCGGGTAGAGAGGAGGCGGCAGAGCGCTGCAGGGGAACATCATGGTTGTCCGAGGTGGAAAAGTTTTGTGCTCTTTTCGCTTTTTCAATTTTAATTTTTACAGACTTTTCTTTAAGAAAAAATAAAGAGGAACTTAAACAACACACACTCCCTCTGTGCTCTGTGTATCTGTGTCTGTGTCCCTCTTAGATTTTATACAGGGGAGTCACTCCTACACACACAAACACAAACACACACACACACACACACACACACACACACTCGAGCGCGCGCACAAGTTCAACCCTCAGCCCATCTCTCAGCGTGAAGCTCTTTGAAAGTTCAAGGCGAGGGGATTGGTCAGCGGCTCTCCGGTTCATCTGTGATTGGGCCTCAGTCAACAACAGTTACATTGCCCCGCTGCTTTGATCCACTTTATTTCTCTGGTTGATTTTCTGCAGCTGATATAGATCTGTCACTGTCACTAATGAAAACTGAGATGCATGTGTAACACATGACAATGTACTGTGTGAAACGCCACATATTTAGCCTACAGTTGCTTTTATAATGGTCCAACTTGCATTAATTCTGAACTGATAAAATCATTTGATTAGATAATTTACCTTGGTGATAGATGAAGCAGGGGCGAAGCTAGACTCTCAGCACAGAGGGGGCAGAGAATTCTGTAGGGGGGCCCTCTGATAAAGTCATTTTAAAATTCACAACTATGAAATAGCTTTGATATATCCTGTCCTATGTGTGTGAAAACATACAGTTTTCAGCCACTTTGTCAGACAAGCTTGTTCAGAAAAAACAAAAGCGAAAGCAGGTTCATGTAGAAACGTTTCAGCACTGAGGCGGGGCGCTCTACGAGCATCGACTGACAGGCAGTTCAGCATCCCCTCTGATGGATGCTGACAGGCAGGTACTCTGCCTCAGCGCCACATCCGTGTTACACAGGGATAACATCAACATAAAATAGACGTGGTGGTCTACAACACTATACAGGTAACAGAGTTTATATATAGCATGTGATTCCACTTGCTGTAATTGCCAAATTTAAGTTCATGTTCAAGGGTGCCCTCTCTTGGAGGTAGTAGATATATGCCACTGGCAGCTTTGAGACATGGTGTGCAAATATAGTGTAGTAATGTCCATATGTACATCGTGTGAACATATATGTGCACTGTGATTTGTAGAAACGTTCATGAGAAAAATTATGAGTGGGTCTCTGTACTTTTTAAGTGCTGAAATGTAAAAATAACAGCATATTGCACTCTCTAAGCTAGCTAGTTAGCCTCTGAGCTAACATAAAGATAAGCAAGCCCCCTGCCCCTCATTCTCCGCACACAACGCAGAGTCGAGGGGTTGCCTGAACCTACAGTGAAGTGCAGCTAAACACAGTTACACTTATTCAGATATAGAATAGACAGTACCAGTTAATAAAGACAAATTATGGATGTTTCACTCACCAGTTGTTGTCCCTGCTCAGCCTGCTGTAGTTTAGTCTTTTCCATTTGTGTATCTGACAATCCTTCATACAATAATATAATCCATAACATACAGATAATAAACAGTTTAACAAATTTTATCTTATACATAGCATGGTCCCTTCATGATCTGCTTTCAGCGATGCTAGCCTTGTTGTTAGCCACTGTCATGCTAGTGGTGCTAGCGTTAGATTCTATCATCATCATCATCATGGTTCTGTTGAAGGGACGAACAAGACAAGAAGTGAAATGTTAGTCAAACTGTTGGTGATTTAATTCAACTGATTGGTTCTTTCTCTCCATTATACCTTAGATAAATTAAATAAACTCATCAGTTAATGTTACAGTTACACTGTGGCTTCATCACACAGTACATCGCATTAAACCGACCAATAGCGTAACTTCATCTCTCAGTCAGCATCAGTCAGTCAGGTACAGACCTTTGCTGTTGCGGTCGAGCCAGAAAGTAGCTCAGTAGGGACTCCTACTGAGCATGGGCCCTGGGGCTGTCCCACTCACCCTTTGCCCCCACCCTCCATCCACTTGTGCTGTGAGGTGTTGGCTCAGTGTAGACACAACACAAAGCTCAATGTGTTCTTACTGTCTCAAAATGAAGAATGCTCTAAGAAACCAGGCACAATCAACGAATCATTCACATGTTAATGTAGGAATTAGCCATAAAAATGACATTTTTCAGTCCTGGTAGGGAGGTAAACTTATTCAGTTATTGGGATTTAAGAACTAGACAACGGTGATTCACCCCCAAAGACCCATGTTAATATCAAGAAACACGGAATAATGACAAAAAGCTGCATACCACATAACACTTGGCTCAGCCTTTTTCTTTCCTGCTGAAAATATCCAGGACCTCCTCTGGAGTCACTTTGATGTCATTGTGCTCCATCTTAAGTCTTTAATTCTCCTGATTCTTGAAACACTTCTCTCAACGTGAGCAGTTGTCAGTGGAAGTGTTTCCAAAAGGCCAAAGAGTCCAAACACATTTGGGAAGAAAGTTTCACTTTCTGCTTTCACCACACAGACAACTTCTAACATCTTCAGAGTAAAGCAACTGTGTTCTTCTTAGTTCTTCATCTGAACATTCATTCAGTATCTTCACATGGTCAGGAAACAAGAAGCTGTGCGTACAGATCACTTCTTTGTGTTTTGTGAATCTGCAGGTGTAATGAGTAAAAGTCCAGCTGCAGTGATACAGCTCAACAGATCATAGTTTTCTTTACGGCAGTTGATGTGTTTGACAATGTTTTCACTAATAGTATTGATTGCAATTATATTGCCACCAACAGACAGGACCTGAGCTCCATGACCTCCTCTCCACAATAAAGACCTGGACAGAGGACAGACTACACAAACACACCAGAGGTAAAACCAAGCACATCATTCACACGTCTAGGTGAAGGAAACAGGGTCAAAACATCTGGAATGAAGTATTGACTGCCAGGAAAGTAAGAGAGAGAGAGAGGACGAGAGGTCCCAGGACAGCTGATGGTCCACCAACAGAAAGAGAGGACAGGGAGAGAGAGAGAAAGATAGAATCAGGTTGATCGTTAACACTGCAGAGAGGTTCACACACAAACTGAATGAAACCAATAAGGCTCAGAAAGACTTCACTAAGAGGATCACAGGCCTTATTCAGGTAAATATTGAAGTCACCTGTAATTAAAATCTCATCAGTAACAAGGTCTGAGATAAATCCTCCAAATTCTACTAAAAATTGAGTGGTGGAAGTTTGTTGCCTGGGCAAAAGAATGTATTGCTACTGGAGATGGTTTGGAGTTAAAAGTAGTATCAAGTTTGGAGGTTACACTGAAATAGACTTGTAGATTAAGGCCAAGGTATCACCCTGTTTAGTCGCCTGGGAAACATGGGCTGGTAAACTCAGGTGGGGAAAGTTCCTTTCGTAGTTTAAGATATGTTTCAACTGAACATCTACATCGACAAATGTCTTGACTTGGTTTTCTTTTGTGATCTCTCACTGCTTCATCATAATGTTACTGGTGTCATCGAGGATAGCAATGTTGGTTAAAACCAAGTTTAGCCTCTATGTCAGAGGCTCTGGCCCTAGGTAGATGGTAAAAAGGCGTCATCTATTACCAGTTTAACCATGTCAGAAGAGGGGGAGGAGACACACAGACCAATAGGACTACCGCTAACACTAACAATGTTTGAGAGGGAAGTAGCAAGTCTGAAAAGATATGAATTTGACACAAAGTGAGAAGTAGAAGATGCAGTAATGTTTTAAGAGGAGAGAAGAATGAAGAGATTAAACATAAACGAGAGACAGCAGTGAAAATCACTATGTGTGTCACAGGCAGCAGCATCAGGAAGTCACCCTGAATCCTAATGGCCTCTGAGGCCAATTTCAATTACACTCTTAAGTCTTTCCCTGTTTTTTCCTTGACTCCTCTTTTCAGAGTCTAAGTTGAGTGATATGTCATCTGTTTTGCCTTTATTGCTTCAAAAATCTCAACTTTTACCATAATAATGATGATATTTTATCCTGGTATGATCTCTAATTTCTTCTAGAGCATGCTTTCAGTTGGAATATGGCTACCAACATGATCACCATTACCCAGACCTTCCACTCCAAAAGCCACACAGGCACACAAGCAGCCATCAGCCTGTAGAGAGAACATGAGCCACGTCTATCCATTGCTGCTGACAATGCAACCTCGACTTTTTCACAGGAAAAGAATGTCCTGCTGCAGGCGTCCAGTCAAGAGAATGTACTGGATTTCAACAATACAGTCTATTATATCAGTCCATAGATCTGGTTCATTTTTTAGCATTAGCTTTCTTCTGCAACCCAATACACACAGGTTTCATCATCAGTTCACCGCAGCGACAGCACAGAACACTATTATAACTCTATTATTATTTATTTATTTATTTATAATGAATAATAATAAATATGAATCATGATAACTTCTGTTCCCAAACACAGGCACTCACACTCATTAAGCTCTGACCTTGGCCTTTCGGTTCCTCTGATCCAGTTAAGCATGAAGCGACTGTCAGCAGCACGCCCGCTGTCCGTCCCCTCATCTGCTGTCCGTCACAGCAGCATCAGTTGATGCTCAAAGCAGCTCTAAGACCATTATGTAAATATCTTGTTGGATCTGATAATGAATTGAAAAACAGGATTTGGGCCTTTCACCAAGAAACCTGACGGTGGTTTCTATTGCAGACCTCCGTCTCCTTCCTGTTAACACTGATGAGAATTATAATTATTCTACATTTAATAAACTTCTTAATGTAACATCAGTTACTGAAGTCAAGATTTTCAAAATAATGACAGCAGGTATTTTATCACATGAATCCAGAATTGTTATCCTCGCCTTGCATCATCATCATCATCATCATCATCATCATCATCATCATCATCATCATCATCATCCTCATCATCTTGTGATGTCACCAGTTGTCACTCAGTCTACAAGTTGAGGAAACAGGAGGTCTTTCTGCTTAAAGTGATTTAAACAGAGAGACTTAAAGTCTTTGCTTTAAAGCTTTGTTCTCATTGCCTTTGATCATGGTGGTTGTCTGTGCGCCCGCT